ACCATGTCCAAATTTTGTGCTCAGTGTACATTCACGGAATATTTGTGAGTCATGGACAGAGCCTGGCCACTTGGCTTCCACATTTGTGATAATGTTGGCAGCATCACATATGATCTTCACAGTGCAGAGAACACAAATTAGCATCCATTACTATAATGAAATAATTTGTTAGTTTGACATGCTACAGGGAACTATGTACCTGTACATCAATGCTGTGGAAAGACTTCCTGTTCACATAGTCTCCTTCATTTACTGAAGGAGCAATGATTGGAATGTGAGTGCCATCTATACAGCCAATCACGCCTGGGAACCGTGAAAATAAATGTAAAATTTAAGTAGTAGTTCAAGTATCAACACATCATGTATTAAGTTTTGGTCATCCTGATACCTGCAATTTTGTGGCATCCCTCTTTGATAAATCTTGTGGGTCTGTGACCGGGGAACACCACAAACGTGTACAGGAGACGTTTCAGTGCAACTGTAACATTCCTGACTGCCCGACAGACGGTAGCCTTGGAAACGTGCTCAGCGTCACCAATATTATACAGAAAGCTCCCGTTTGCAAAAAACCGAAGTGCAATACAAATAATATGCACAGAACTGAGAGCATGTCCGCGATGTGTCACATGCGTAATATATGGCCTGAGGATGTTATCCAAATAACTTATTGATTGTGCTGAGAAACGGTAACGTTCGCACAGACAATCATCAGGAAATGATAAAATGTCCAAACGCGCTCTGATCACTCTCTCCCGGCGGAGAGCTCTGCGGAGAATTTGGGCTTCACGATCTACTGGCTCTTCAAGGAAGGGACACGCCATGTCTGACACTTCCTACTGTCAGGTTTCCGACAAAGGGGCGGAGACAGTCAGGGTTAGTTGTAGTAAACCTGCTAGGGGGCAGGTTAGCTTCACGGCGTGTGTCGTCATAGTGACTCACTCAGGCTTCAGCTGAACTCGCTTTGTGAAACCGAAAACCCAGAGTTGTCGTTAACTCAGGGTATACTTACTCAGTTTTTCCACTAAACCGGCTTCCTGAAATAGGGCCCTGATCTTCGTGGCAAATTCAACCCAAATCAAGAAAATTCAATTAGATCTTTAAAAAAAAAAAATCCCACAAAGAGCCTTGTTACTGTCATCAGTGTACATTAGTAATACAAACCAGCTAAAGCTACAGTTAGAATATGTTAACATTATTAAATACCAGGAGGGGTGAGAAGCATGGCTCTAAAACCTTTTACAAAACCTGCTTTTAGCATGAATTAAATTCATAAACATGTTTTGGACATTCCTCAGAGATTTTGGCACACGTTGACATGAAAGCATCATTGGACAGAGATCTGCCGACTGTGGAGGAACCCAGGCGGTCTTCCCCTCTCTCCATCCTCCACTTTCCTGTCAGTCTTCACTGTGCCTATCAACATATAATAATTTTCTGAAGTAAAAACACTTATTTTGATCTTTTTTCCTTTTTTTGCAGCTGAAAAAAATAAGATATAATATAGAAACATGTCAATAAAAAAACTATACATAAACTACATAAAGTTTTAACAAGACTAAGAGTGTTCATGGCAATGGACTTCTTATTTGTCATTTGCTAAAGCAGGTTGTTACGACCCATCTAGGGGCCAGGCAATAACATGAGTGAAGGACTCGCTCGCCCCACAAGACCGAAGCAGTGACAGGAAACAAATCAGTTTGTTAAAAGGTGATTTATTTACAAAGTGATAAAACAGATACAACAAAACAGGAGTGTCAACACGTCGGGGTGAGCTAAGGCCAAAATAATAAACAAAACGAATCTAAACTGATTCCCCACACACCTAACCTTACCAAAACAAGTGCCAAAAACGAAGACAGACTCTGACCTCCTTAACTTACTCAAAACAGGAGAAAACAGGTGATCAAAAGAAACGGCAGCTCACTCCTACCCACTCCACTTCCTCAACTGTCACAATGTCACTGAAGCAGGGCCGTGCAGAGAGGTTTAAAGGGGCGGGTGCTCAAAGTTAAAAAGGGGCACATTGAACCAGGCTGAATAACAACAACACACATTCATCAAGAATCTAATATGGGAAGGGCAGGGCTGTGTTGATCTGAGACTGTAAACATTAAAAAGTCCACAGGAGAGATGGTAGCTGATTAAACAAGTGTCATGAGATAATAACAAAATGCAAAGATTGGTGACAGCGCTTGGAACCATAGGGCAACAAAAAACTGTGAGAAATAATTTAGGCTCTGCCTGTGAATCACTCTTTGCTTCTCTTCTTCCTTCCATCATTTCATATATCACTCTCCACTTGCTATGTGAGAACAAGTCTTCTCTCACCCCCATTCTCTGCGGCCTGCTGGAGCGGGGGGGCTAGGAGGAGGAGTTGGCCGTCCGACTGCGGTCTGGAGTGTGGGGCCTCCCTGCTGCTGCGGAGTCAGGGCGGTCTGCCTCCCCCCACCGCAGGGAAAAGGGTAACACCACCTGGGTCTGGGTGCAGTTCCCCCCTCCAGGGACAAGGGTACCTAGACCCGGTTCGTAGAGTACGCTTGGGGAGTGTGATCGTGTGTACAGCGTCTCTTTATGTCTGTCTCCACGTTGGTTGAGTGTGGAGTAAGTGCATATGAGAGCATGAGGGTGGGAATGGATGTTTGTATCTGTGTGTGCCTGTATGTCTGTGTCTATATGTCAGGTTGGGTATCAGGCGCCACTTCTCTGGGGACATCTCAGGCCCTCCAAGGTTTGGAGGCCTATCTCCACCCACCACCACTTCCCCTGCCAGTGGCGGACTCCCTCAGGTGTCGGTGCGTTGGTGGTTCTTTGTGTCTGGGGATGGGCGTCCGGGTACACACCGGCTCACTCCTTGGCGGCCGCTTATCGGGGCCTGGAGCCTGGGGCTCGCTCGGGCCACTTCGGAGGTGGGGTGCCCCCGGCTTCTCGGCCTGGGGCTCGGTCACTCAGGCACAGCTGGCTGCCGGCGGAGCTCACGGGCGCGTCAATGCAACCCCCCCCTGGCTTCTGCTCCGCGGCTGCTGAGTGAGGCCTCATCTGGGACTCTCCTCAGCTCTTACTGGGACAGTGGCGCGGCTGCCCCTCTGTTGGTCTTCCTTGGTCTATTGTGTTCTGGGGGCCTCTGGATGTCTGGAGTTTTGATCTCCTCCATACCTGCTTCATACCCTGGAGGACGGGGCTGTGGCTCCCCACACTCCCTAGCAGATCGTTACATGGAGAAACCTTTGGAATGCAAGCATGCTGATCCACACAGGTATGCACACAGGTGTACACACGGGTATTCACAGACGCGGACTACAGCTTTCTTGGCTGCTGCCTCAAAGCACATTGTGCGCTGTCTATCTTGCGTGCTGCACAATATCGTTTATTATTTAGTATCTACTGATATCTACTGCTAGCTAGTTTATAGTGATGGTGCTGTTTTTTTTATTATGTTGCTCTTTGTTGTTTGCTTTCTCTTCTGTTTTTTTTCTCCATACAGGTGACCCAGGTGTTTTGTTTTTTTTTGTTTTGTTTTCTTTCTTTCTTCCCCCCCTTCTCACCGTCTCTTCTCCCCTTTGGTTTTCTTTCTCTCCCTAAAAAAAAAAAAAAAAAAAAAAAAACCGAACAAGGCACAACTTGCTATTGCAATAAACTATAATCTAATTGTCCACACCTAACAACTCTTGCACTTAATCTATAATAAAATGATGACAGAAAAATGTTATAGCCCTGCCTTTAGTAGCCTCACACAGCTCCTACTGTTTCCTCCTCAGGTCCTTACCAGGCATGTCTGCACAATGTTATATCATGAGTAATATTTTTTTAAATCCATCTAAATAAAACACACACATGCACACACAGTGACATTTTAGACCTTCTTCAGAATACTGTATATACTATGGGCATCATGGTGCTGATCCAGAATCCTTACATTATTATTTATTACTAGAGCTACAATAATAAAGCAATGAGGAGGGGGAAGTAATAAATATGAAATAATGTATTTATGATGATTCCATTTGTTTCACTATCCACTCTGTGCAGGGGCAAAGCTTATTACATCTTTAAACTGTAGAGATACAATCATTTTACTGCTGTAAAATCCAACTTTTGTCTTATTTAAAATATAAATCTAATATAATCTGCTTCTTAATGTATGTTCTTTAAAATACAGCTTGTGTTTTTTAATATATTATAATAATTATTATGTGGACATGCATATGAGGTCGTTTTTTAGTGAAATATAATCCCTCCAGAAAGGCCGGAAAAGCCCGGAAACTTACTTTAAAAATAAATATGTTCCCTAAAACGGTGACAGAGCTACAGACCCATGACAGCCTTACACAGGTAGCCAGCAGCTGTGACCAGCACTACATGTGCAGTTAATAAAAGGACAGGTAATGTTTGTCGCGCTGTTGCACACACAGCACGCTCGTTTGTTTCAGTTCGTCAAATTGCCACAAGACATCTTACCAACGTGTACGTAATAAGCTAATACTCCTGTGTGCTACACACTACAGTGTACGCTGTACACCTACTTACTGGTTTTTGTCGCATCAGTCTGTGTCTCTGAGTTAACTTGTGTTTCTCCTACAGCTCCGGACCGCAAAAAATGCGCGTGCTCTTTGTGAGCTCGTTCCCGGCTCGTAACCAGCGCGTTCTGCCGTCGAGGGCGATCATTGGTTAAATGTGATCATGTGACTGATGCAAGCCAGATCCTTTTATTTAGCAAAACTATGATTAATAGTTAAATATTATTGTTGAGGGGCACAGACAGGACTCCGCACGCACACACACATAAAAATAAATAAATAAATAAATAAAAAAAAATTTAAAAGTTGCCTCAACAAAAGGGCACTTTGGGCACTCATCAGGAAAGGGACGGGCGCTCAAGCCCCTCTAGCCCCCCCCCCTCTGCACGTGCCTGCTCTACAAATACACTCGCCACAGCAATCACAGCAATCGCTACCACCACGATGACAGCAATGATCCTGCCTGTCAGGTACGCGTCGACTCTTCACACTCTCTCTGCTTTACATTTGCTCCATCTCTCTTTGCTGAATTGGAGGAAAGAGCAGACACACCAAAAAAGTTTATATAATGACCCTTTTTTCTCAAAAGATAAATTTACCAACAACAGGTCGTTTATCTCACCTGAGTTTTTTTGTACTTCCTCTGTCGCTTCTGGACAAAGAACTACAAACACAGAGAAGAAACTAAATTATGGCCTTTTGTTTTAACATTTGTTCTTTAAACGACACTTCTGACATGCAGATGCGCTCACCACAGCAATCACAGCCAGCAGGCCAGCAATCACAGCCAGCACCACCACCACGATGACGGCGATGATCCCACCTGTCAGGTGCTTCATGGTCATGGTCGAGGGCTCCTCGTCCACATAGTACACGATGATCTTCTCCATCATCAGAGTCTGCCCATCCACAGAAGCAGTAAAGGTCCTCTGCTCAGTAAACAGTGGCAGCGCCTTCACCTGCAGAAAGTCACATGAAATGATGAAGTTAGCCAGTGGGTCCATTATACAAAACGTGCACACACACACAAACACACAGGTTGTACATACGTCTTTCTCCATGTAGTAGGCCATTCTGGACAGGTCACTGATGCGCTCTCCTTTTGGCTTAGTCACATCAACCACAATCATGCGAGCGTCTGGGTCATACTGTAGAATGACAGGATGTTAGTTAGCATGGCAGTGGTGCTTTTTGCTTTGTTCTAAATTACAAGCAGTTTTTTGTTGGACTGTCACTCACCTGAACCTCCTTCACCAGGCTGCGGTCAAGTTGGTAACGCTTTTTAAGTTTAGTCGCAATAGCACTGTTTTAAAAAACGACATTAGGATGGTGAGATCTGGAAATGTCAGCCTCAGCATGTTTCTTAACTTTTAATAAGGGCTGAAGTGGACTTACGCCTTCAAATTGTCTTTATTCACGTTGGTGGGCCCCTCCTTGTGTGTCAGCTGAAGACGGACCCAGCTGGAAGAGGGAAAAATAAAATAAAGAAATGTTGAATACTTGAACTATTCATCCTCACAGCAATCCTTCACTATAGTGAAATCACTTACTAGGTCTCCACCAGCTTCTCACACTTGAGGGTCTGGTCTCCCTTGTCAGTTCGACGGACTCCAGCGCTGTTGACGCACCAGCACACATTTGTGTTGTTGCACTGCTTGGCCTTGAATTTGCCGTCATTCTCACATTCAGGGTCATAGATGCCATCGTTGTCCACAATGGCGGTCTCATGTTGCTTTCCTCCAATACTGCGAGTGCTCAGGCCCCTTCTAGCTCTGTACATTTCAGCTTTCATCAAGAAGCACTTGGGGATCACTGAGGGGGGAACAAAGTGCACACCATGAGCAGGCTGGAGTGTCAAACAGAGGACATGAAACAGGAAGGTGCCCCTTTACCACTTCTAAACTTACATGCTGTGCAGTCTATGGGCTGTTTTGTACCATTACCAACCAGAAGAGTACATGAACATGGGGGTCCATCGCAGATAGCCCACTTCATAGTGGCACATGTTGTTGGACCTAAAGAGGAAAAAACACCACCACACTAGCAGGTTATTAACAGGAACTCAAATACATAACCACATTACTATACTGTGACTGTACAGTATAGTTAGTATTATATAAGAATGAATAAGAATATAAGAATGAATCTTTTGGGTGCTAGTCCCAACACAGAGGAAGAAACCTTCCCCACCACCAACAAAACTAGCTAGTGTAACATTAAAAACAACTTTTTGGTTCAACTCTGGTGGCCAATTACAATATTTGATCAAATAAAACAAGCAAAACTACATCTCATAGAAAGATAATTTATCTATGTCTTAAATAAAGGTGCTCTGAACTTTTAAAATGCGTTGGGGGGGGGTTGTTCGTTTTTGTGAAAATTTCCATTAAATCTACTCAAACTGAGCTGTGGCTTCTTTTTAGAATCAAGTTTGTATCAAATTTAAACTACTTACAGCCCTGAGCTGAGGCTCCGACCGCGAGAGCGGCCAGAACAGCAAAAACCCACACTTTCATGATCAAAGGCGAAGAAAGAAGTCTTCGTTTGTCCGCTTCCTATGCGTCCGTCTCCTGCAGAGTCCGAACGAAGAATTCAGTCGAGGCTCCGGTGGGCGCAAGTTCGTTCAAACGAAAGTCTTCAGGAGAACGCAGCGCGGTGGTTCTACAGTATGAACGGAAGTGTACTTGATGACATCACAGCTTAGCTTAGTTTTTAATGCCATCCCCCCTTAATTTAACTGATTAATATTTGCAATGGAAAGTACAACTGGTATGAAAAACATAACACGAAGTAAAAGATTTCTTTAAGAAAAAAAAAAGATCATTTATAACGTTTATAAGCACTTTTTCAAAAATTCCCTTTTACATATGATCTCTTTCGCTCTTTCTTCCAGTATGGAAGTTCTTCCAGGATGTAAATCAGTAGTGTTAACTGAAAGATAATTCTCTGTTTTTTATTGAGATGTGAATCTCACCCTGAAAATTTCAGTTGGTACTAAGGAGCCTAAACTGTGACAAGGTAACATCAAGGAAAAATACATGTTGAACCAGCAGCAGCTGTCTGAACCACTGATAAAAGGCAGAACAGATTCATGGTTGTTTACAAGGAAGTCTGACACTACAGCAGCAGAACTCAAGACTAATCAGACCAGAACATTTTAGTGATCTTATGTAAACTATAACCTCGGCTTTCTGTTCTTTGATACCAAGAAGATTTCCCTCACACCATTACACCACTACTGGTAGCCTGAACCATTAAGACGGAAAGGGGCTTTCATGTTGTTCATGCCATATTTGGATCGTACCATCTAGATGTTGCAACAAAATCGAAACTCATCAAACCACATTATTGTGGTGAGCACATGCAAACTGTAACCTTAGTTTACTGTTGTTTGCTAACAGCAGTAGCACCCGGTGCAGCCCATTTGCAATTCATTTAACATGACTTCAGAGACACTCTTCTGCATAACGTGTTTGTAACGAGTGGTTAATTGCGTTACTGTTGCCTTTGTGTCACGCTAAAGCGGTGTGGCCATTTTCCTCTGACATCAGTGTTTTCTCTTAGACCATTTTCTGTCCACCCAAAAGATGTTTGTGTGTCAAAATCCCAGTAGATCAACAGTTTCCAAAAAACTCACCTGGCTGGCATTAACAACTATGTCAGGTTCCAAATCAATTAAATTAAACCTTTTTCCCATTTTGATGCTTGGCTTGAACTCCAGCAGCTCGTGTCATGTGGCAAGCAAGGAACAAATGCAGGACTCCGAGACAAAAACTTTAAAATGAACTACAAACAAAGCAGATGAACACTAAGGAAACAAAATAAAGACAAATTAGAACTAACAAATGCAGAGACTTGAGACCATGGAACTACAACACACAGCTAACGTGGAGGATGTGACAACAAGCAGGGAGACTGAAGACTTAAATACACAGGCAGGATAACGAGGGGACTGGAACAGGTGGTTACACAACTGGGACTAATCAGAGCTGACAAGACAGGGAGGAAGCAAAACTAAATACGCTGAACACAGTCTATCAGAATAAAAGAGGAAACAAGAGACACACTCTAAACATAATGAAAGAATGACTAAGAACCCGAGACCCACACCGTAACAGAAACTCGTGATCAAACTTCTGATCAATGATCAAACGAGAACAGAAAACTTCAAGAAAACAAACATAAACCACTCAGAATATAATCTCACTCAGATGAAGTCTAAAACAGAACATGACAGCTTGTCTTGACCATGTCTACATACTGCACTGAGTTCCTGCCATGTGATTGGCTGATTAGATATTTTTATTAGAAAGCAGTTGAACACATGTACTTAAAAACTTGGCTGGATGCATGCACACTTCCTTTAAAAATAAGAGAGAGAATGGTTATTTTATTTTCTAGTAGGAACGCACATTAACACAAACCATAAACATCCGAAATCAGATTTTATCTGATCTTCACTAAGAGACTTTCCTCCTGAGTTACAGCAAAACCCAGAATATCCACAAGCCTTTTCTACTCTGTACCAAAATCGATAAACTCAAAGGCTTAAACAGGACCAGAGGACTCAGAAATATGAGGTGAGGAAGGATCGACTTTATTCTGCTTTTATTTTATTCTTTTGTTGGGGGCAAGGCACTGTCATGACTTAGAGTCACCCAGCCTCACGTAAAATAATCGTTATTGCGTTTTACTAATGCACTGATATTTTTATTAAAAATTAATGTCAGCTTGAATATATGAAAGCTTCACTGGAGTGTTACATGTGTCAGTTTGTGACATACTTTGGCAAATACAAGTGTACGTTAACTGTGACCTGCTGTCAAAGTCGTTTTGCATCGAGGTCCACATCCAGCCCACTTTAATCTTAAGTGGGCCGAACCAGAGAAACTCCCCTTTGTCTCAGTATAAAAATGTTTAACCATGCCTTTAATCCCCTTTAATATAAAAAGAAGTGAAATTTCAAGAGTGTTAACATTTAGATGGTAAGGGATTACTTTAAAAAAGCATTTTTAAAATTTCCTTTAAAAATTAAAAAAAAATTGGACAAGGAGGACGAGATGCATGAACAGTCGGGGGCTCCTCATCCACGTAGTAAATGATGATCTTCTCCATCATCAGGTTCTGCCCATCCACAGAAGGAGTAAAGCGTCTGCTCTGGTCAGTAAACAGTGGCAGCATCTTCACCTGCAGAAAGTCACGTGAATTGACGGAGTTAGCCAGTGGGTCCATTATACAAAACGTGCACACACACAAAAAGGTTGTACATATGTCTTTCTCCATGTAGTAGGCCATTCTGGACAGGTCATAAGTGCGATCTCCTTTCACCTTCTTCACATCAACCACAATCATGCGAGCGTCTGTATATGTAACCACATTACTATACTGTGACTTAAAGATGTTTAAATTAAAAAAAAAAAAACTTTCAGTATTATATAATGTTAGATTTGTGTTCTCATGAGTAAATATATTGATTTATTTTATGTTGGGAGAGACGTTTTTCTGATTGTCATTTTATTTTGAAAGAGATTTTACTTTGGTGATTGTTTTTTTCATTTCCTCTTCCTGTTCCGTGTGTGTGTTCAGTTGGCGCGAACTGCTGCAATGATGTATCGCATTCCCTTCCTGCGTTGCTAACAATAAAAGAAACGGGCAAAGTAATCAACCAAGTGAGTGTATTATTAAGAGAACATGGCCGAAGAAGAAGAAAACTCTTCAAGCTCAACAGGTTATGGGCCCAGGCGTGACACAACAGGAGGAAGATGGCAGAGGTTAGTGTTCAACGGAGACGAAAACAGTTACGAACTTTGGGAGGCGAAGTTTCTCGGCCACATGCGGATCATTGGCCTAAAGGACACTATATTATCAGTCACTAACCCAGATGCAGAGAAGAATGCTGAATGCTACGCTGAACTGATACAGTTTCTCGATGACAAAAGTCTGTCACTGGTAATGAGAGATGCGGCTGACGACGGAAGAAAAGCTTTAAAAATACTACGTGACCACTACGATAGTAAAGGCAAGCCCAGAATCATCGCACTGTACACAGAGCTGACGTCTTTACAGAAGAAACCAGATTAGACAGTGACAGATTATATTATCCGAGCTGAAAAAGCAGTGACCTCTCTAAGAAATGCAAAAGAAGTCATCAGTGATGGACTTATTATCGCCATGATCTTAAAGGGGCTTCCTGAAACTTACAAGCCATTTGCTATCCACACAACTCAAAGCAGTGAAGATTTAACATTCACACAGTTCAAAAGCAACCTACGAAGTTACGAGGAAACAGAAAAATTTGACAACAAAGTAAAAGTGGATAGTGTGATGAAGGTTGATTTAACATCAATCACCTGTCATGGATGCGGAAACAAAGGACATTTTGTAAAAGATTGTCGCCAAAAGGGAACACCTAAGTGGTGTAACTACCATAGAAGCTCGACACACAGTGATGAGACATGTAGAAGAAAAACCAAGTACAGAGATGACGCAAAACTAACTGTAGTAAAACTAGAGGGCAAGAAAGAAGAGCAGACTTTTGTATTTAAAGTCAGTCAAAGACCTCTGACTACTGACATAATGAGAGAAGGACTAATGGTGGACTGTGGTGCGACTTCACACATCATTACGGAGAAGAATAAGTTCATAAAGTTCGACGAGACCTTTGATCCTGGGGAACACTACATGGAGCTCGCTGATGGATCCAGGACAAACAATGTCGCACTCAAGAGGGGAGACGCGAACGTCTCTCTACAAGACACACAAGGACACTGTACTACCATCACACTAAGAGATGCTCTGTTCATCCCATCCTACCCTCAGAGCATATTTTCAGTGAAGGCAGCTACAACCTATGGAGCACAGGTGGTCTTCAAGAAGGGACAGAACGAACTAGTGAACAAAGATGGGACAGTCTTCCCCATCGAAGAATACAACAGACTCTACTATTTGAAAATGGTAAACATTGAAACATCACTCAATGACATAATGTCCTGTGATACTGTTAATCTGG